AAATAGGAAAAAGTAAAATAAAATATAAAAAATATAATAATAATAACAATGATGATGATTATAATGATGATGATGATGCTTATGATGATGATGATGCTGATTATGATGATGGTAATGATAATAATAATGATAATAATAATAAAAATAAAAATAATAATAATAATAATAATAATAATAATAATAATAATGAAAAACTTACAATCTTACAAACAGCTTTAATTCGTGAGTCATTTTTCACAATTAAATTATAAAAATTCTAAAAAAAGGGTAAGGGAGTATAATATTACTATTAAAGAACTATTTCACTATAACTGTACTTATTGCCAGTATACAACAAAAGAAAAAAAATGTTCTGGTAATAGGCCAGTAAGACTATAAAATTATGACAAAAATAAAAGAACATCGCAAAATAAAATTACCAACATTTCTGTGGTATAGTCGGCCTTTAAATTCGTAAATTATAATTTGTCTGTTTTTTTTTTCCTTTAAGAGTTTTCATTCACCACTATACCACTTTACAAGTCTATATTTGTATGGTTTTATTATGATTTTCAAAGATTTCAAGGTTGTCAAGTTTCACGATTTTATTTAAACAACACCAAAACATCACGACACTTAAATACTACTGCAATTTAACTTTGAATAATACATTTTAGCATTAAAGCAGCGTGCTAATTTCCAAGGAAATTTTGAACATTCATTATTGTATATAAAAGTAAAATATTGTTAATTGAACAAAGAAATAATTTTGCTACTTTTATGACAAATATTTTAACATTTACTGGTATTTTCTTCATGTAACAAAAATCTAACATTCTCTAAAACCAATATTTCAATAATATAAAACTCATAACTTGCCTTTTTGAAAGAAGTAAAAATTTGTTTGTTTCTGTGGCAAAATGTGCCTTTAAAATTTTGGTACATTTTTCTTAAGTTTGATTTTCTTAAAATAGTTTGGCTCATATGGAAAAATGCAGCTTTAAAGTATCATAGCAGCATTATAAAAGATATACACATAATTTGCAAACATATATTTATATATATTTTTAATGCCAATAAACGATTCTGTTCTGATCTATTTTGTTCTCCTAAATCTTATATACAGTATGATTTGATTTTAAACCTTTTGATTTATGTTATTTTTTTTTAATTGACAAAATTAAAGGCCTATTAAAGACCCATTAAGTCTCAAAACTGTTAACTTTTGTATCTTTTTACAGTTTCCTTAAACATACTCATCTATTTTTACACGTACTATCTTTTGCATCTTTAGTTTTATTGGCAATTGGTATAATTATAGTGAAATAGTATTTTGTATGAAAGTCATAAATTCACTTTGTTAACATTTTGCTACCTTTACGACACATATCTACATGTTTAACGCTACTTTTTCCAGTTGTTAAACATGTAACATGCTCTTAATCCATTATTTAAACATTCTTAAAAACATGTTCGATATTTCTAAAGACTAGCAAAAAACATGGATTTCTAAGGCATAATGTGCCTTTAAGCACACAAAAATGACATTTTTATTTCTCAAAAGCTTTTTTTTATTTTTGATGTTCTCTTACAAGGTCAAAAAATACACATTGGCCATATATACATTTTATTGTATGGAATAAGTAAAATTACTATTTTGTTTACTTTTGTTTCCAACCTTTTACATGTATGTCATATCAAATTATTTCACATTCAACGCTACCTACTTTTTGTGACACGAACCTGACATACTTTAAAACCATTATTCAAACATTATTTGGACACATGTGAACTTCAAAAGAAATCCTTTGTGTTATACGACACCCTAAATTATAGCTTTACACAATAAGCTTGTAAATGGATACGTTATTCCTTTTTTACCTTAAACAGGTCTTATTTTGAAACTATAAAAAATAGAATATTATTATACACCCAAAAACGAAGTTTTTTTTTTTTTTTTGGGGGGGGGGGATATATAGGAGTCACCCGGTGGTCGGACGGTTGATCGGTCGGTGGTCGGTCGGTCGGTCCAGACGTCCGTTGTATTTTCCCTGCCCGGAGCACAACTTGAAGACTTATGGTTGAAATTCAATATAACTATATACAATGGTCAAGCACATTGAGAGGAAGTGCAGTGCACAAGAACCATAACTCTATCTTGACTAATTACAGAGTTATTGCCCTTTGTTTCTTTGTCCGGGGCATAACTTGAAAACTACTGTTTGGAATTCAGACAACTTCATAAAATTGTCAAACACAATAAGGGGAAGTGCAACGCACAAGATCTATAACTCTATCTAAAGTAATTACAGAGTTATTGCCCTTTGTTACTTTTCCATTGCTTTCTTTTGTCCAGCCTAACTTGAAGACTAATGGTTGGAATTCAATGTTACTAGATACAATGGTCAAGCACATTAAGATGAAGTGCAGTGCACAAGAACCATAACTCTTTCTTGACTAATTACAGAGTTATTGCCCTTTGATACTTTTCCTTGTCCGGGGCATAACTTGAAAACTACTGGTTGGAATTCAAAACAACTTCATACAATTGTCAAACACAATAAGGGGAAGTGTAGTGCACAAGAACCATAAATCTATCTTAAGTAATTACAGGGTTATTTCCCTTTGTTACTTTTCCATTGCTTTCTTTTGTCCGGACCATAACTTGAAAACTAATTGTTGGAATTCATTATAACTTCATATAATGGTAAAGCACATTGAGAGGAAGTGTAGTGCACAAGAACTATAAATCCATCTTGACTTATTAAAGAGTTACTGCCCTGTATTACTTTTCCTTGCCCTGAGCATGACTTGAAAACTAGTGGTTGGAATTCAAAACAACTTCATACAATGGTCAAGCACAATAAGGAAAAGTGCAGTGCACAAGAGCCATAACTCCAGTTTGACAAAATACAGAGTTACTGCACTTTGATACTTTTCTTTGTCCGGAGCATAACTTAAAACGTACTGGTTGAAGTTCAAAACAACTTCATACAATGGTCAAGCACAATAAGGGAAAGTGCAGTGCACAAGAACCATAACTCCATCTTGACTATTTACAGAGTTATTGCCCTTTGTTACTTTTCTATTGCTTTTATTGTCCGGAGCATAACTTGAAGACTAATTGTTGGAATTCATTATAACTTCATACAATGGTAAAGCACATTAAGAGGAAGTACAGTGCACAAGAACAATAACTCCATCTTGACTAATTACAGAGTTATTGCCCTTTGTTACTTTTCCCTGTCCAGAGCATAACTTGAAAACTTCTGTTTTGAATTCAATACAACTTCATACAGTTGTCAAGGACATTAAAAAGAAGTGCAGGGCACAAGAGCTATAACTCCATTTTGACAAAATACAGAGTTACTGCCCTTTGATACTTTTCCTTGTCCGGAGCATAACGTAAAACGTACTGGTTGGAATTCAAAACACCTTCATACAATGGTCAAACACAATAAGAGGAAGTGCTGTGCACAAGAACCATAACTCCATTTTCAGTATTTATAGAGTTATTGCCCTTTGTTCCTTTTCTTTGTTTGTTTTTCTGGACTTAATACAGAGTAATTCAATAAAACTTCATCAATGGCCAACCACATTGAAAGGAAATGCAACATACAAGAACCACAACTTTCTTTAATTGCCCAAAACCATACCTCTATACTTCAATTCTTTTACAAGGTATTCTATTACTAGTAACATCCTCATTTCCGAAGCAGTCTTGTGGGGGTATTAATCACATTTAGTGATAGTTCTAGTATTTCTGTACATTCAATACAAAGTTCACTGAACTCGTTGAATAAAATTACGTTGTGCTCGCCAAAGATTCGCATATAAAACTTTTATTCAACTGTTTTGATAATTTCAGTACTTATTTAATATCCTCTCTTTATGGACCAAATAAATAAATAAACAGTAAACAATGAGACAGAATATGCTTATCGTTTGGATTTTGATTAAAGGTCTTATTTATAAGGGGTACCGTGTCCTGGTGAAATTACGATTGATATAGAGTAAGTGTCAAACCTGTGTTTAACACAATCTCCGAATAAAGATCACCCTGCGAATAAAGACCACTCTCCGATAAACCTTTATTGATAATATAGATATAAATTACCTGCAAATGAAAAAAGATCTTATTAACCTCCAAGTAAAGGCCACTTGTCTTTAAAGGCTATGTTCAGTCTCTTATTTGAATGGCCTTTGTTTACAGGTTGGACTGTAGTTCTTTTTTTCCACCGTAGAACATCGGAACTTAAAGCGACTGATTTAATCGATAATTATAAACCACACAAGAAATGGCGATGGTCCTAATCAAACAGTTTCATATTACATGTACTTCAATATAATACAAAGATTCACGGATAAAATTGTTTCACGCTCTGATAATCAGATCCTACATTATACAAAAATGTTTTAGATGTTTAAATAAAAAAGCAATGACTTTGTCTTAGCTTTTAAAAGGGTACATACATACGATACACATACTATACGGTAACAGATTTAGGAGTGACAGGTTCATCTGTTCACACCGATTCGGTCGTTCCTTTTTTTCTAGCCAAGCACTGGTTAGAAAATTCAATTACTGTTACCAAGGTTATTATTTAAACCAATAGTTAAAGAAGTATATATTATCTTTGTTAGAGTACGACAATGTATGACATGTTTATATTAGTCAGGGTCTTTCAATCAAAATCAAGGCGTCTGTGGCCGAGTGGTTAAGGTCGTTGATTTAAAATCGCTTGCCCCTCACAACTGTGGGCTCATAACCCGACAGGAACTTTGAATTCTTTCGTGCGAGGAAACTATCCAGCTAGCTCAGTGGTTCTACTCAGGTGCCTGAAATAATGCACGGAAGGGCACCTGAGGTCTTCCAGCACCAGTTAAGCTGGAACGTCGCCATATGACCAATAGTGTACCGGTGTGAGGTAAAACCCAATCAAAACAAACAAATTGAAATAGATATACAACGCATATCGTAAAAAAGTCGATACCAAGTACTAGTATAGTGACTGGCTCCACTGCGTGTGCTATTCATATTGTATAAGGCACGTTTGGATACTAATCCTTCATTGGATATATTGTAACCTTGATGTTAAAATTGTTCTTTTAGAACATACGGTACTTTGGTCGCCGTATAAACGTTCAATATTTGTGAATCAATATGTTAGGAATACGTTTAACTAAACTAAAAGGATTTCTACTGGTTTGTGTTTTATTTTGATGATTGTTTAACTATGTAAATTGCATATGGTTTGTTCTGATATTTGTTCTGTATTCGTGTAGTGTAGAGAATAGCAAAATAATGCTTAAGCGCAAAAATAAAATATTGAAATCTTTGAAATTCTCACTAAACATGTCTAATTTGAATCAGTCAACTATGTATGGGAAGCTGCGAATAAGTAAAGCTGGTCTTTGGATTAAAGAACAATGCTAGTTTTATATGACACTATTATATTCATATTGCGAATACCTTCTATAGATTATAGAATTTTAAACATAATATTTGATACTTTGTGTGAAATCAATACGTTTATTTCACTTAAACAAAGAGACTGTGTAGCACTTATCACTTATAACTTAAAGCTCTATCCTTGATTAAGTAACAATAATGTTTCTTTAGAAATATTTCCTACTGTTATGTAACCACCGTTTCTTGAACACCCTTCTAAGGCTACACCAAATTGACAATTAATTTTTTTCGAAAGAAAATAGGACGAGCGAGCGACAATCGTTAATAATTGATACTTAAGTGCAAATACAAAGTTCTTCTTCATCAAATCTTTATGAAATGTAATATTATATCGTATAGAATGTATACTTATTTACAGTACGGCCTTCTGATTTAACAAGGAAAGAAATCAGATACTAGTGGATAATGGTTATAAATTTTCATTCATTCATCCGACTGACACTCAATAATTCGCAATTTTTTATTAAATTATTCAGAGAACCAACCGTGCATTTTGATTTTATGGGGTGCAATGACATATTTAAGGAAACTAATACCAGACTTTTAGTCATATTATTTTTAAGGAAACTAATACCAGACTTTTAGTTAACGCTCTGTGCATGCATATGTATACGATTTAATTTGACAAAGGTCCCAAACTATGATACAAAAACTGTATTACCGTGCAGCAATGTTTTGACAACACTAAAAATAGCTTCATTGATAAGGTTACGTTTAAGTCGAACAGGGAACATAAAAAAAGTGTGGTGTACCAGAAGAATAAAATAAAAAAAATATTGTCTGTTAATGCTATTAATAATATATATATATATATATATATATATATATATATATATATATTATATATATATATAATATATTATATATATATATATATATATATATATATATTATATATTATATACAGTTTCAATACTTTAAACTAAAATAAAGTTCTACCTATATAGTTAATATTTCTTTGACTTGTTTTTTTAAAGAAATATATATGGTGTACTAGGGGAAGCATAACATTTAAAAAAAATGTAAATTAACTACACTTAATTGTAAATAGGTTTAATTTTTGTACACTATTAAGTTATGTAATTTTCATTTTGCACAATAGTACCATAGTTGTAAGCTTGTTTGTCAATTTTTGTCATCATGAATTTAAAGCTACATTAAATAAATTTCATAAAAACAGAAATGGCGACAATTTATAAATAAATTTGGTTTCATATCGACTCCATTTTATTTTGATGTCAAGACAACCAAAATAAGTTTTATACGCATAAAAAATGGGCAACCTCATTGTGGCGAAATCGGAAGTACAATAATAATTATTTCTGTTTGCATGAGAAACTCCGCATTCGGTTCATCCGTACATCAATATTAAAACAACAAACATGACTATGTGCAGCAGCTCTAATCTAACGGTATATTTCCGCATTGTAACGGATGTTTTCGTACAAATTTAGTCCTTTTTATGAGATGATTACTTTTTTATGAACCCCAGGCCTAGTGCACCGTGAAGCTAAAACGGTAAAAGTGTGATTGCATAAGAAATTCTCATAATTGCTGTGTTCAGGAAAGCAGCTATAACACTGTGACGAAGCGCATACACGAGCTGATTATTGTCTTCATTTGCATGCTAAAATTCGTATACGAACTTTAGTGTTACCGTGGGGTTTTCCGTTTAAAATCCTAATTTATGAACAATATTTGATGAGATTTACAACAGAACTGTTAAAAAGGCTTATGAAACTGTATAATGCTTGTTTTTTAGGCCGACGGGAAATATATTTTTACATATTTATTTAATGTAACTTTAAATAATATTGCATCCATAGGAACTCTGGAACAGGACCGCATATTGCGGCGCATAAATCCGAATCCGTACCAGCTTTACATATTGTTTGTCCGACCTTTGAATATCTTTTTATATTATGCGAGCGGATGGTATTTAATTATCTTATCTCAATTTAATATAAACTGCTAATTTAAAAATCAGTCAAATTTACGGTATATTGAAAAAAGATAAAGTTTCCTTTTAAAAGGAAAGGCTTGCTCAGTTGTGCCATCATCCCTTCCCTTTAAAATTGTTTTTTTTTTGTTTCAATTAATTATCACAATTTTTTTTAATTACGTATTTGTATATCATAATGGGTTTATTTATTTTTTTTTCTCGAAAAAAAAAAATTCACTTTTAAATGGATATGTAGGGTTTTTTTCGTTTTGGCAGTTGCTTATTTCATTTATATAGCAGCTTTAGAGACAAGTAAATGCACTAAAAGACTTCGTTACGTGGTAACAATTAATAAGCATGTATCAACTATATGTTACACGATCGACAACACAGGAGATCAGCACGTGGCAAGGTAAATGATATGCATGGGCTAGTTTTAGATTACCTCACCAATCTGACAGTAGATCTAAATATAACTTGATCATGCACTAATATTCTGCGTGATTCGGTCACGATCTTTTGATAAGCAGGACCGCCCTTTGGAGACGGAATACTACTACAGTAACCATACTCTATTGTATAAAACTTATAAAGACAAAAACCAATTATAAAAGAAACTATAAGCTAACTTTTTCGTCTTGAAAAAGAATTGAAACGGAATAAAGTAAAAATAGAAAACCTATTTATATAAACAAACTGGGATTACCGAAGTAACTAAAATAGCTTAGATTTCCGTAATATTACTACGTCTGATTCCGCAGTATGACGGAATCGCCCGAATTGTCACGATTGCAATCGGAACTACATCGGCTATTATCATTAATCCGAAGAGTGACGGAAAGGGCCGAAAAGTTTCGATTGGCACGATTGCAGCTGGTTTCCCGTTCAATCATGCACTAACAAATGTAAGCAGGAAACCACCTAACCGGAACAAGTTTTCCAAAACAAATGTCTTGCAGCGGTGTCTATGATTAGAAATTTTATGAAGCCTGATTTGTATTTTGCATCCAGTGCGAAAACATGAAAATGCAACAAACGAACCACTTTGTGGTAGATTGTATTTTCATGTTTTCATCTGGCGCCCAGTTACTTTTTGTACTATGTTGGTTTTCATGTGGCACAAATCACCAACTATTAATTTAGTGCACAAATTTATTCAAGGGCAAGTAACAATCTACTCTATGTAAAGTATGTTGTCGGGTTGACTCAGGAGACCTGGAGGTTGAGCCCAGTTGAGCCCTACATTAAAAATAGATAAGACAGAAGCTGTCCTTTTCAAACTATGCACATGTAATTTATGTTAAAATTAGAATTAGTTCTATTCAGAATATGATTTTTTGAGACTTTATTAATTATATTGCTTGATCAAGTTTAAGGACATTTCAATCAATACATGTATTATCATTTATAACTTTAAATGAAAGTCTCATCCCTTTAAATAATAATGACATAACTGTAACTCTTTAAATATTATAAGTTTCATCATATCAATACACTAAGATATACATGTATGCACATAACATTAATAATTCCCAGTTTCTATTAAATAAATATGAAATCCTAACATTAACATGCTTTTGATGACCTTACAACTGGTAAATCTTATACAACAAAAATAGTTTGATAAGTAATACCTAAGATTGACAGAAAAGAACAAATAATTTAGTAAATATGAGTTACTTAATTGTAATACTAGTAAACATATATGTACAGTATATCAAGTCTTAATCATCAATTTATCAAAATCTTGGACAATTGAAGTGAATTCATTAAGAATAAACATAGTGTTTTATCGACACTGATGCTGATGTCACTTCATTCTGTGTATAAAACATACGCGTAATACATGTCTATAGAAAACATCTCAAAAACTATGGAATCAATTTTTTATTTTTGGTTTGGGGATTTTTTTTTTGAATAGTTGGGGAGGATAATTACATGGATAATTACATGTAATTTTCAATTAGGCGAATGCAGCTCAATACCGGACCCAAAAATGGAACAAAAAAGGGCTCATCAATATGTTTTCCAAAACTAGTATCTGATAGGAAATCAAGTTTATATTTTTAGTAACAGTAACACTGATTCTTACTAACAGAGTTGCATGAATTTTTTTATCATTCTTAAGCCTACTCAGAAATCAGTTAAAGTACTTCCTCTCTTGAATGTCCCTCTCAACAACAATTCCCTCCCTATTACAATAAGAGCAGAAGTCTCCCATACATTCAGATCGTTCTTAATTTTACCTCCTTTCAGCAACTCCCTCTGTACAACAAACAAAAATATTGTCTCCAAAAGCATGTTGTTGTAGAGAGGGGGCACTTTATTGGCCCAAAAACTAATTTAATCAGCTCTATTGATGGCAAGATCTGTTATACATAACTTACATATAGTACATAGAAAAAAAACTTTTTATCCTCTATATAAAATAAAATTAAACTTGGAGAAACTGAAAAAAAGACATTAATCAGAATTAAAAATTGATCCACAATAATATTGTCTCGATAATCAGTTCTTAACTGGAATACTAACCATTAAATGGTTAAAATAATATGTAATTAGCAATTTAAGTAAGGTATTTACAACGCAATCTTTAAATCAGTCTCTGTAAGAGGATGAACCTCATTATGATTATGTTAATTTAAACTTACTGAGAATTCTTGACCCACAAGTGAAAGATCATTCTGAATCGGCCTTATGTAACACACTGCCTGTCCAAGGTTACTGAAATTTGACAGAAAGTTAACAGTACAGCCGCCTGTTGGCACACTGATCACTTCTAAGTCGCATC